ATATCGACATATGAAAAAACTTGTAACACCCGAAACGTTTTTAATCAGATGCTCAGATATTAGTTAGTATATTAAATCATTACCACCATAACCTTACTTTTACTAAATATTATTACACTAATCAATCTGTAAGGTAAAATAATAAAACAATTTTTCTTTTTGGGTGTTACAGTGGCAAAGTAAAAAGAAAACACACTTATAACGTGATAATTATCAACTTTTTCGTGACTGTGACGCAATCCACCAATACTACGATAAATAACCTTTAATCACAACGACAGATAACATTTTTTTCTTCTTCGTATTTCCAAGAGTTAAAGGCACAATGGTCATTCAGCCAGTTCACTTGAGTACAGATTTTTTTGTCGCACATTATAATTTGGAAAGTTTTATTTTAAATTTCATCAGATTTAATGCGAAAAGAACATATTTATTTTTTCACCCTTAGTATCGTTTGTCATGGAATGACCCTATTATTTCACAAGAAGGGCACTTTATTTTAACGATTTTTATACTTATATATACATAGTTGACAAAAACAAGTTAGAGTTGTATGAGTATTACCAACTTTTATTATAATAAAAGAAATAAAAAATATATCAAAAATAAAAACTGAGATAAAAAAGCGATAAAAAAGATAATTAAAATTGAGTTATTTTATGATAAAACAATACGTTAAAATGAGATTGTTTGAGTTGGTTTAGAAAGCAAAAAATGTCAAATTAGAATTCAATTTATTTATCTCCGCTCCATTTCGTTGTTTCTTTCCCTGCCTTTATTCAATGTAGTCATTATTGCCTATGCAAACATTTTCGATCCTTTGCCAACGACCGGCTAAAAGAAAACTTTCAGCAAAATGTATATTTTCCTTTTTATGGCTGCCAAGTTCTCGTTTGAATTTGCATGAAAATAACAACATATACATATTTTTTTATAAAAAAAATGTTTGGGAAATATAAGTACGTACTTACTAAAAGTTTGTAAAGAAGGAAAGTTTTTATAAAAATGTGTTTAAATAAAATGTAGAAACTAAGCAACATGAATACCGTGACATCCCGAAATTTTATCAATTAATTGACTATTACGCTAAAGAAGCATCGCTAGTAGCGCCACCTATAGTTTATCGGCGGAGAAAATGCAATTTTTTTATTATGAGTATTTTATGACGATAATTTGTTAAAAACATCTTTTATGACACCTCAAGGTAGAATGTTTTTAAAACAGTAAAATTATGATATGTTCTTGCATTTTTAATTGCAATTAAATTCATGAATCTCGAACACTCCGTAATTTATTACACTTGCAAACTTGCAAACTTTTTGAAATCACAATTTAAATACGCACAAATAATATTTATGAAATATTTTTGACAGTTCTGACATTTCTCTACCAAACATGAATTGACTAAGTCAAAGCCATCTAAATTTTAAATTATAAATAAAACTAACAATATCGCTTCTTACTTGCATTAAAAAAAATATTATATCTTTTAAATGGATAAAAATAACAAAACTCAACTAACTACACTGAAAAGATTAAGGTTGGGACTACATTTCCTGAAAGTTTCAGTTTTTTATTTTTTCCTCAACATAATGATTTCTGAGGGCAAAATTTTAATAATTTTTTTAATAAAGAAAATGATAGTCTAGAAACTTAAAATAATAGTACTTGATACCTGAAAAAAAATAACTTTCTAGATTTAGTAGAATAGGCACAGGAGCCAGACAAAAATCACAAAGATTGGCAAATTATCATGAATCTTTGGTGGTTTACCATTCTTTTGTGAGATTAACTAATTGGATAATAATAATTTATATCGAAAACACACTTACTTAACAGTAAAAAAAATTAAAATCATTTCAATATTTGTCACAGAAAAAAAGTTCTGGACCACTATAAGAGAGTAAGAAATTGACACGATTTCAGATTTCTAAAGGGTGCCGATTAAAAGTAAAGAATCCAAAAATTAAAACGGCAACGAATTTTCATATTTGATACCTAAAAGATCATCCTCAATTTTTTTTATCAAAATAAAAAATCAAGCAGCGCACCCTATTTGGTGTTTTTATTTGGAATGACTCAATAAGCAACTGTCAAACGGTTATGTTACAAACGAGTGTTTTTAAGAATAAAGCCGGAAAATGTTAAAAACATATCGGAAAAAAATCGTGGTATGATGTGTTCTGTTGTTGGGTGTATTTTGAGAGGAAATTGGTTGAGTTTTTACCGGTTTTCCAATAAACGGTGTTAATCTGAATGAAGAAATAAATTGCATACAGTCTCTGTAAATATAAATTGTACCTATTAGATACAATAAATACACATTTTAGTAGTGATTAAATTGAAAAGTTTAAACATTTCAATTAAGTAAAAGTCGTCAAACAAATAAGTCGTCTAAATTTAAACAGCATTTAGCATTATTCAAAGCGTTGATTAAGAAAGTCTCTAATCAACGGTAAAATACCATTATATTATGTATTATATATAATATTATGTTGTCATGAATTCGTAGGTATATTTTGTTGTTTAAAATCCAGTTGTCGGCGTTTTTTAGAGAATTCAAATATAAAAATGGTTGATTTTAAGGTTATGTTTGTGCAAAAATTATTTTTTACTAATTTCTTAAAAATGTCCAAACTTAAATATAAATTTTATTAGGTAGTTTAGTTATCATTAATTAATTCTTCACCAACAAATGTACTTACCCAAGATCTTGAATTTTATTTACAATTAAAAACACAATAATTCATCATGATCCCTTTGATAAAATACACACACTAACGTAACATTTAAGCATTTAAGCGTTGAGTTTCTTAATCAATGATATAAGGAATAATCAATCAAAATCGAGTACTAAAAGTTTTTTCCTTGCAACGTAAAACACAAATAACGTGCGCGATTTAGCTGTGCAAATGAACAAAATTTGTCTAGTAAGTCTTCCTCTCTTTTGTGAAAAAACTACAAAAATTGATCAAAATTAATTGGGTCTTATTGTTAGCAAAGAAGTTAAAAAAACCTTCAAAGCAATTTATATTAACGAAAAGTCGTGCAAATTATAGCCAACCTATTATAGCGAAGCGAAAAAACAAAATAATTAGAGTTGGGTAACGTTTGTCTAAAAATGATAGGTAATCCAAAAAGCGGAAGATTTAATACCTGGCAGAATCAATTGTTATTAGTAATCCCTTCGGATTATTGGAAGTTATTATTTCTGCAAGGACCTTTTGACACAAATAAATTGTTCATTAATGTAATGGATGGAATAGAGAGGCGAACAATATCAGACACCACCTTTATCAACTCCTTTATTAAGTGAAAAATTTTGCAGCTCTATTTGTAATTTTAAAAGGTTCTTTTGTTAATTTTATTAAATTAAATCATTTTAAACGAAATTGATTTTGATTAAAAAATAAATTATTTTTAAAAATATATTTTATATACCTACGCTTTAACGTACTCAAAACTATTAAATAATGTAATTTATTTAAAATATTTTGCTAGGATATTCCAACAACTATGTCGAAATTACATTGATTAAAAGCGCACATACACTGCGCGACAAAATTAACGCATAACAAGTAAAATAAATCCAAATCTAAGACGCCTTTACCAATCTTTATAAAATTTTGTATAAAAATACTTCGACTTATATCTCAGTTTACGTGTTCAAGGGTTTTTCAAAAAAATATCCTTAAAGCTCTTTTATTTAACAATACAAAATGCTCGAAAAACTTTTATAGGGAAATTTGTTTTTAAGTAAATAAAAAATATGTTGTGAAAGACCGTATTTTTGTTAGTATACCCTGAAAATTTTGTACAAATCAAACGAACAGTAACGAAAATACAGCGCTTCAAAGTCGTCAATAATGACCACTTTTGAGCAAAATAATCAAAAAGGGGTTATTTTTACCGACTTTGAAGCGCTGTATCTTCGTTACTGTTCGTTTGATTTGTACAAAACTTTCAGGGTATACTAACAAAAATACGGTCTTGAACAGCATATTTTTATTTACTTAAAAAAATTAGCTGTTTTCATTGTTTACTTTGTCTGTGGCAGCCGCTAAGGTTAGACGTGTTTTATGAGCTCGGCGATTTTCGTTCGTTCGAAAGAAATGGATCAAAGAATTTGTATCCAATTTTGCTTAAAAAATGAAACAAATTGTGTGAAATGTTAAAAAAAGGCCCATAGTGAGTCTGCTATAAGTAAAACAAGAGTTTACAAGTGGTATTAGAGTTTCCAAGATGGCCGTGAAGACGTTGAAGATGACGAACGCCCCGAACGCACAAGCACATTAACAACCGATAAAAAACATGGAAAAAGTGGAAGAAATGGTTATAAACCATCAGAGAAGTCGCTGATGATGTTGGTATATCGATTGGCTCATTCCATGCAATTTTTTCGAATGTTTTGGGTGTAAAACGCGTGGCAGCAAAATTTGTTCCGAAATTATTAAATTTTAAACAAATTTTTTGGCCAAAAACAATACTGTAATGATGCCCCAGCCTCCATATTCGCCAGACATGCCTCTGTCTGACTTTTTCCTATTCCCAAAAATAAAAAGAACCTTAAAGGGCCGTCGTTTTGCAAGTATAACATTAAAAGCGCATCGCTGAAAGAACTAAAGGCTATCCCAAAGATCGAGTTTTAGAAGTGTTTCGAGTATTGGAAGAAGAGCTTGCACATGTGCATAATATCCAATGGGAACTATTTTGAAGGCAACAACATTAATGTAGACGAATAAATAAATATTTGTTTCAAAAAACGAAAATTCCCGATATTTTCTGAACAAACCTCGTTTAAGATAGGTCAGTGACATTCAGTGGCTCCCTGGTTTTATCAAAAAAAATTCATAATTGTTTCATTAAAAAACAGTAGCTCTAATACAAAAATGATGTGACACCATGTACATTTAGGCGTCATAAATTGTTGTTTTTAAATATTTAAAACTCTTAAATCCAGTGCCATCTTAATATTAATATTTATATTTCTTTTTTTTCAGTAAAACCTCAAAGCGTACATATTTTGACAAAAGAAAAACAAGTATCAGCAGAAAAGAGATACGAAGTGGAATGCCGAACATCGGGATCCAGACCGGATGCAGTGATCACGTGGTGGAAAGGAAGCCGACCAGTAAAAAGACTGGCAAAAAATGTACGTAACATTTTTTAATTAACTTGATTAAATTGAAGTTTTATATTTAAAAAAACAAAAATGCCTATTTGGGTGAATCTCAAGGCTTTTCAGGTTATGTATCTGTCAAAGTATAGTCAACGAAAGAAATAATATTATGTTTAGGAGTTAAAAATGTATAAATCTTTATAACATTACAATAACAATGGATGGTTTAAGAATTTAATTAATTAATTTAATTTAATTTAATGAGATTCTAAAGTGTATGGTGCCAAATAAGTAATATTTTTGTGCATTTGGTCCAAATATCTGGTTTTTTGCATAAAATAATTTAACTAAACAGCATTTATTAAAAAAATCTAGCTTCTCTATTATGGAATAAGAATATCCGTTTTAAAGGTAGGTTAATATATTAAAACAGAAATATCATGTAATTTTGTAATTTTAAGGGTAGAAAAATTTATTTTGACCAAAATAAATACGTATTTTGGATTATTTAAAAGACTGTATAATATGGTATTTAAAAATGTGGTAGATTTTCTTATCCAGCTTAAAGTGTACCTACATAAAGTTTTGTCAATACAAATAGTTAAAGCTTTGACTGAACTTGATCTACATCGAAAAATCTTAATAAATCACATGTCATGGGAGTATTAAATATTTTCACATTGCAAGTTTCTCTAAAAATTGTTTGTTTTCTTATAATCTAACTTAAAGTAGGTATGCCGAGAGGTATGCACAAGTTTTGTCATTAGAAGTATAAAAGCTTCCATTTAATTTGAACCATATTCAACAATTATTTAGTATACCTATATTTATTTATGACCATATTAACACACTTCCAAATAATCCACTTATTTATTTTAGTCAAAATAGATTTTTCTAACCTTAAAATACAAAATTAGGTGATATTTTTTGTTCTAATACATTAACCTACCTTTGATACAGATATTCTTATTTCATAATAGAGAAGTTAGATTATATTTTAATAAATGCTGTTTAGTTAAAACTATTTTATGGAGAAATGTAGACCCAATGCACAAAAATATCACTTATATTGCACCTTACACTTTAAAATTTTATTAAATGCAGTATTTATATTCCTAAATTCTTAAACCAACCATTGTTATTGTGATACTATTAAGATTTATTAACTTTTAACGCTTAAACATAAGCGGTAACACTATAAAAATTATTTCTTTTATTGACTATACTTTGACAGATACATAACCTGAAAAGCCTCAAATGCCAACTGCGTTCCGTACGTGGTCACGTGGTGGGACTTTGAGGTGTGTCTATTGTACAATTGTATTTTTTTTAATATTAAGGATGTTTTTAAAAAAACATACGAAATCCTAACCTCCGTGAAGCTATCTTTCGTGAAGCTCTATTCAAAATTTATGATTTCTTAAAATTCTTGCATTAGTGCAGAACTACTTACGTTATGTTATTACTAGACCAGGTGGCTTCCCAAAAACCCCATTCTAGACCAACAGTGAAACAGCCAAAAATAAAAAATAATCATTTTTACTTGGGGGACATCTCAACATATTCACCCATTTATATTCATTAATATTTTTTGCTTTACAATATTTTTACATTTATTTGTAGGGTTAAGTTTTTTAACCCAAACCTTTTAATAATACAAATTTTGTTTTAAAAAAATACTGCCCCAAAATTTTGTTTTTGTTGGTCCACCCTTTATACAACACGTACGTGTATATTATTTATCGAAAACATTTGCAAACATTCCTCAACAACCTGTCCAAAATAAACAACAAAAAAAGCGATTCGAAAAAATAAACATCCTCGATGAAAGCAAACATATTTTATTAAAACGGAGGGTAAAAAAGGTCGTTGCATTGCCAACGCAACTTTTGCTTTTCCCCAGTTATTACAAGCGAAGTGCCCCGACCGTGCACATAATTGAAAAGCCTGTGAAAATGAAAATTACCGCACACAAAAAGTTTATATTTAAAATGAGTTACTCACATTTGGAGAATTTTCTTGTTTTAGACACGAGTTTAATTTATTTGCCTGTAAGGTACTTAACTTCGTTGTTTCTAAATTATTTTATGTTTTTTGTTCTTTAAGTTCATTTGTAATGTTGTTTTTTAATAAAACTCTGTATTCGTTTAAAAAATTGACATTATGGAAATATTTTTCCATTATACTTAAAAGTGCCATCAGCATTATATTCTCTCATGAAATGTGTCGATTATGTCAAGCTAATTTATCAGCTTCAATCATTGATCAATTATTGCTATGCAGAAATTTGAAATACATTATTTTGTTAAAAATATTGATTCATTTTCCATGTACTTATACTAAAAAATTGAAATTTTTTTAAAGAAAATTTCAATAAAAATGTTTACTTAGGTAATATACCAGTTTCTAAGGCCGCAATTTTCCCAAAAAAAAATTAATTTTTATTGTTGTTAATATTCATAAAAGTGGGTAAGTAAACATTCAGCTTTCCTTGTACTTGTTTTTATAAAGACAACAAAAAAGAGATACAAAGCTGAATTTATTACAGTCGTTAACTAAAATTGTTTTTAGCTGAAGACTTACACTAATGGATAACTAACCATAATGAGTTTTAAATTAAATAAATTTACCAATAATTAATCGTGAAAATGTTATTTCGCGATTACCAAGCCGTTTAAAATGTAACTTGAATGATAAAAATACGAATGAATGAGTTTTTGTATACATTTATTTTGGTTTAAGATACTAAAGCCAAATGTTCCAAAAAACCTAATTAACCAATGGTTTCAGACAGAAACAATATCTTTATGTACAGGGGGAAATGTTCTATTCGAAATCATACAATTTTTATTATTACCTACCGGGCTACTTTAACAATGGCAATAGTTACTTTTATCACATCAAAGTTTAGAATTCCAAAATTTCCCAGAACATGGGAAATCCTCAGAATTGTTTTATTTTACAAAGACATGATTTTGATATTTTAAATCCCCATCACTTAAAAAATAATAAATAATTATTTCAACATTTTATTTTTATTTTATTTTTATTATTTTTTATTATTTTTATTAGCAGATTTTATTGAGCAACAAGGGTTAACATTGCTTTGATATTTTCTTTTTTTATTTATAACAGTACAACACCTTCCCATGAAAAATTTTGACAGATTTTAAAAATAAAGGTTAAAAAAACGTACCCCTGTCTCACCGTTTCACGAAATCACGTCATTTATTTTTTTTACACAGCATATTTTAATTATTTTAACCTAAACAGATTTTTAATTCTCTATTTTGTTATAAATCATTTTTTTTATGAAATATTTTATGTTTTTACATAATACAAAAATTATACTTAAAAAAAATAATTTTTTTTAAGAAAAAAAAATATTTCTGGTTTTAATTTTTGATTTTTTTTTATAAAACATATTTGTATTTATATATGTTGGAAACAAATCTTGATCTTTTAGTTTGACGATTATAGATTGCTTTCGAATCTATAGTGGTATCACAACCTGAAAACACCACTTGATATACAGGGTGTTTCACATTCGTGGTCCATTGGAAGTTTCTGGAGAACGGAAAAAATATAGATTTGAATTTAAAAGCGTTTATAATCGTTTATAAGTCTATTTTTTTAAATATTTTGAACAAAATGCAACTTCCGGTTTGACCGGAAGTGACATTAACTTTGTTATTTCAAATATAACACCCCATATATTTTTACTTTTTAAATTCTAAATAAAATTTTGAGTAAAATTACTATACCATGTCCTATACCTAAAGTGAATAGTTTTCTAGATGTTTGCTATTACGTTTACGGATATGGGGGTAAAATGTTTGGAATCTTAAAACATTGTTTAAAAAATTCCATGTCAATTCTTTAACATTTTTCAACAAATTACCCAAGAAACCTCAGGGCAAATTGGGCTAACTTGAAACGTTAATAACTTTTTTATTTTAAATGAAACACCCATTATGTTAAAATTTACATGAAATCTTTTAAACAATGTTTTAAGATTCCAAAAATTCAACCCCCATATCTGGAAACCTAATAGCAAGAAAGTTATAGGCTATTTTTGATTGACGCGCATTTGTCATATTTTAGCGGGAAATATTAATAACTCAAAAACTATTAACTCTAGGTATAGAACATGGTACAGTAATTATACTCAAAAATTTATGTAGAATTTAAAAAAGTAAAAATATATGGAGTGTTCCATTTAAAATAACAAAGTTGATGTCACTTCCGGTCAAGCTGGAAGTGGCATTTTGTTTATTAATATTTTAGAAAAATAGGCTTAATTGGATTATAAACGCTTTAAAAATTTCAATTTGATATCTTTTGCCGTTCCTCAGAAATATTTAATGGACCATGGTGCACGAACGTGAAACACCCGTATTTCGTAAATGTGCAACACCCTGTATATAGTTAAAATAATTTTAAAATAAATAAATACTCTTAATAGTTAATGGTCTATTTTCAAAATCTATAAAAATTTTTCATGGGAGGGAAAAAAATCAATATTTGTCGTACTGTGTAATGGTTTAGTACACGAAGAGAAAAGTATAATGCTGATTACCATAATTATAATACCCTTTACTATAATTTATATTACTATTTGGGATAACTATCTTGTATATTGCCAGATCCTATGCTTATTTAGTAATTTTTAAATATCCATGTATGTTAAACCTTAAGGTAAAATATTATTATTCTCAACCAATTTTGTTTTTAATTCTTATTATAATTACATTTTTTCCATTACTAATAAGTATAGTAAATTTTAAAATATTATGTTGCCATTTTAAATATAAAATATTGTAAAATCGAATATTTTTATATGTTAACAATTAAAAATTGTAACATATTTATTGTACTTTTTAATATAAAAAAATGTTATGAGAAAGAATTGAACCTACACCTCGCCAAAGTTTTTTTTATTTTGAGTGCGTTCCATCAACTTCAAATACCGACAGACAGGTGTTTTGACCTATATTGGGTATCATCAGTGTCGACACGACACTGTCGAGCAACTTGTATTAGTGGAACACACCCAAAACAAAGAAATACCTGAGCTTATATAACATGGTTGGTAAACCAACAGAGGCGAGATGTAAGAACATCACGTGATCCACACCGTCTAACGACGCGTCGCGACGTGGCCTTTGCCGCAATCGGTACATACTATGCAACCAAGTAGGTTCAATTCTTTCTTATAAGTATTACCAGTAATGGGTCAAGAAAGTTAATTGAAGAAACTAAGAAAATTGAATGTTTAAAATGTCATGAGTTACTATATTGTATATTATATTTAAATATATTGTTTATTTACCTTAAACATAAAAGTATCTTTATTTTTACTATATTTTTTATTAATGTGTAATATATTATAATATTAGATGTACACCTTACATTTGATTAAATCATATAGTAAATATTACTGTTTGTAGATAGTAACATCAATTTACTATACAAACATATTAAAAATTAAAATATATATTATACATTTATGATTTAGTAATATTGGTGTTGTAATCTTTACTAAAATTGTATAATAAAAAATAGTATTTTGTATTACAATCTTAATATTGTATTGACGAATTAATAATATTGTTACCCTAAAAATTTGTTAAAGTTAATTTTACTAGGTATATTTTTTTTACTATACATTTCTCTCCGTGTAGAGCTAAACGAGCCGCCACTGGATCACATATGTTATTGATCAAAAACGATTTCATTGGATAATGTGAGAGCTCGCTTAACAAGTGTCTTTTTTGTGTTGCAGTTTTCGGAGCAAAACAACCAGAGCCTGAGCATTTTGAATTTCGTTCCTGTAATCGATGACGATGGGAAATACTTGACCTGTCGAGCCGAGAACCCGTCCATCTCCGATAGCGCTCTCGAAGACAAGTGGCGATTAAACGTCCATTGTAAGTTATATCAATCTACTCCTTGTTCTCCAGTTTGTAAGCTTCTTGTTGTTTTCCTGTTTCCAGGAAATAAACCGGGTTCTTAAGTTGCCCCACATGCATTATTTTTATGTAACAAGTTTGATAAACGCCATTTTAGTCACGAATTTCATTTAGGCACGAGCGAGTGCCTAATTAAATGAGTGCCTAGAAAAGTTTATAAACTAGGTAAGAACTAACCTATACGTATTTGGATATAATTTCAATGTTAGGTGCAAGGGTAAACTTTTTCTTATTTCAAGAAAAACTATCATATTATTTTAAAAGCAAGCAACCTCAAATAAAATATACACTATGCTTAATTTAAGAATAAGTATTTTTTTATACAAATGTTATAATTCTTGGCGATACAATATTTATTTTTAAATTAAATATAAGGTATCTTTATGTAAGTTAAGCAATAATTGTTTCAAATATTAACTATTCTTTTTTTAACTTTTGCTCGACTTTAAATAAAGATTAGGATATAATGACCATGTCCTATCTCCTTTTTTCTAAGACTAATGGAGAAAAATAGATAGGATAATCCACTCTTTAACTTTTGAAATAAACATGGTCATTATATCCTAACCTTTAAAGTCAAGCAAAAGTTAAAAGAATAATAGACAATATTTGAAACAATTATTGCTTAACTTAACCTGAAAACAATAATATTGGTATATGGGCGTTTCTCTGTAAACTGGGCAACTCATTGTCTCAAGCTAATATTGTTTAGAAAAATAACAGATCATAAATATTTCGTAGATAACTTCAAAAGATAATAACCTAATCTACCTATGCTCGACGTTCAAAATCCAATAAAATAAACTTTAATGTATCAAAATCGTTTTTATAGTCCTTAAAAACCAGTCCCCTGTCGTGTCACCAAAGCAAAATGGTCACTTCAGACTAAATTTATTAAAGACAGTAACTATTGGAATCAACCTAATTGTTTAATTATTCAACCAATATTGTTTGCTTGTTACTGTGACTTATTTATTTTTTATAAATATTATTTTGTAATTCTAAAAAAGTCATCTAAACTTTGTCTCCGGATTTTATAAACAGTCCCCTGTATAGATTTTTTAGAAAATGCTCAATGTTTTCCAAAGTAATAGGAATATTTTTGGTTCATCTGCCGTATACTAATAAATAGACCGATATTTATTCCTCGAATAACATTTATTAAATACAAAAAAAATATAACAAAAAAACTTGCCTAGACCATTTTTTACTTCAAGTTGCCCAGTTTACAGAGAAACGCCCATATAGCATCTACCTATCTACCTATACTATATATGAGCTGTGTTGTGACAGGTTTACCCTGTGCCAGGTAGCTTTTTAATAAACCAAAAGGTATCCGGGGAGTATGCCCTACTCAGCGGTGAGCTGGGGTGAGTTTTAGTTTTAAATACCTGGACGCCACGTGATTTTACTCCCAGAATACGTTCTGCTTTATTAACTGTTTGGGCCTTAAAGAAAAATCACGAAAAACAGTTAATCTTGGTTTATTAAATTTCCTCGTAGAGGTTACGATACAACTAACCTACCCGTTTGTGATCACTTTTAGGGTTTACAAAACAATTATCATTAGATCAAGTTAAATGGTACAGGGCCTGAGGGACCCCTCTCCAAAAGAAGTAGAACAAAGTTACAATGTTTCACGTTAAAAGATTTAATGCCTGAGGGGCATTCAGTTCAAGGAACCAAGTGTTGGTGTTTACAAAATCAACCGATTAAAATATGAAATAAAAGTGTACTCATCTACGTCCAAGTGCACTGTAGTAAGGTTTCAAACATACAGGGGAGTTCACACCCAATAGTATCTTCCAGGATCAGGAACCCGGTGGCGAGCCTCTCGTCGATAGAATAGTGTAGGCAGTACAGGATACTTTCTCATCGATAGAATAATGTAGGCCTTGGATACTTTCTCATCGATAGAATAATGTAGGCCTTACAGGATACCTTCTCACTGATAGAATAATGTAGGTGGTACTCTAAATAACAACCTCTGTAAAAGGAACCCTTGAAAAAGGAACCCCTGGAAAAAGGACCCTACAAGACAACGTGCGGTAAGCACTGCGAAATTTACAAAGTCAATAACTTACGCTGGATTTTGACTCCGCTTCAACGAATTGAAACCAAAATCGTTGTTGGGTGCGGTCGTTGTATGCAAATGGATGGAAGCTAAAATTAATTGCAATCAGACACAAACAGGCAAGGTGTCAAGATGGCTTACCCTGGTCGTGGTACAAGAATCCGGAATCATCCGTGAGTACAAGGATTTCAACACAACAATACTACTCTATTTCCTTACGTACTCCCTTGCTGCACATGAATTTGAATCCCAAACACACTTGGAAGGCAATTACACAGCCTTATTAGAAAAATTCAATGTCAGCTATAACACGACCAGTACCCATCAATTTACCGGCTCTTTTGCCGCGAAATTTGCATACAACCGCGCAAGTCATTGACTTTAACTCCCACTTTTCGCTCCTAGATGGCGCTCTCAAAACTAAACCCAGTCAGATGCTTCGAAACCCAATTCTACTAATTAAACAAACAACCATAGATCTTGGACAAACTTACTGTACCCTCTTAATAAACTAAAAACCAAAATAAACGTAAATAATTTACAATAATTCCTCCATCCGTATTTCTCAAAACTTAAACTACCGACCACTAGATGGCTTCGGGCAAGATGGCAAGTTGCCGATAATAATGACGTCTTGAAAATGTTTTGACAGAATACAAACAAGAAATTATTCAAATAAAACAGGAAATTAATTAAATAAGCGTTGCAACGCGACAGAGTAAGTTATACCAAATAATCCCATTATACACTAATAATGTTATGTTCCTTTCAGGCTGACTAAAAATCACAAAACTTAAAAATACCCCCTTAGTTCGAATAAGCACTCGAAACATCTGACTAAAATTGATTTACCAACCATCTTAACAAATCCAAGATCAACTGCTGTTTAATTTAACAAAAAGAAATTCTTAAAAGCTAAAAATGCAAAACAACACGTCACAATTCCCCCCTTGCTTCCCAGAAAATTTTCTCAAAATTTTCAAAATCCAATCCCTGTCAATACTTAGGCAATTCACCATGATGGTCAGAGTACCCATCGCTCTATGATCTTGTTTAGCGCGCCGGCGGCGTACTCTGCCGAAACCTCACACATCCAAAAGTATCCCACAACTCAAAATTCGAGAAAACGAAAAATAAAATAAAACTCAATTTCACCCATCAATAGGGTAGCAACCACCACCTTCTGCTTATAATAACGAAAACTTAATAAGTACGACGCGTGGGAAGATCAATCCCCAAAACATATCATGGCGAACATCCTAGGCAAAGCCACAAAGAAAAAATCAATCCTGATTGACGATGGGTCACAAAGTCGTTTCAACGGCCATGGGAAAGACAGTACCAGCGAGACCACTCAGTCCAACGCGAGAAACCCACCATGGTTGTCAGAGTACCCATCGCTCCAAGGTGATATTTGGTGCGCCGGCGGCGTACTCAGACTAAACACAAGAACTTAGTCAATCCTTACCCTACAATATACTAAAACCCTGGTTAAGACCTCGCGCCGAAAAGAACACTCTCCCCGCATCTCCCTCTCCCACACCCAATGAGACCACCAAATGATGTCAAAGGATTTGTAGCTACAGGCGATACAGTTTAGCTGGGCATACCGTAGCGACGGTTGTTTGAGGAACAACGTCGGCCTGATCAGAAAGAACTCAATTACCCATTCCCCCGCAATACATACCAGAGTGTGATCACAAAACAGACAACAAACCTACTATCTAGTTATACAAGGTAGACATTCACAGACTAATCATACGCTGTAGCCGATTTCAGGTCCTTAATGTTCCAAGTACCCTGGGTTCGACCGGACTTGTCCATCAGTTCGTACGTCCATGGCGAAACACGCGCTTTCACTAAAAATGGTCCGACAAATTTCGGCGCAAGCTTGCTAGTGTAAAACTTCGCCGCGTCTGACAACACAAAGTTTTTCCGCCATACCAACTGATTTGGCAAAAACGTTTCATGTCTCCTACGAAGATTATAGGTCTTTTCATTACGTTTCGCTGCCGCATCGAGTTTTTCGCGCACATAGTCAAAAATCCTCTTCAATCCCCTATCGACACTTTTCACTTCGGATTCTCCCGTCGCCTCGTTATCCATCAACCGTTTTCCCTCATACTCCTCTCCATTCAAAATCATCCTCCTACCAAAGTTTACAAAATAAGGAGAAGCATTTGTAGAGTCATGTTTGGCTGTTCTGGTGGCACAAGCAATTTTTGCCAAATTCGCATCCCATAGACGGTGATTATCAGAGGTATACATTGCTAACATGGTCTTGATGGTCTTGTTATACCTCTCGGTGGGGTTAGCCTGAGGATGATAGTGGGCATTATATCTTATCTTCACTTTGTATTCCGCAGCCAGCTTCTGAAATTGTCGAGACTTATATTGAGGACCATTATCGCAGATCAATACCCTGGGGACGCCGTACACCAAGAACACCTCATCTTCTACCCGCTTAATGATCATATCTGCCGTAGCAGACCTTAATGGAAATACAAGGGAATATTTACTGAAAATGTCCATTACCACAAGTATGTATTGGTGACCTTTGTTGGATCGTGGAAACGGTCCCATTAAATCGGTAGATATCACCTCCCATGGTCGAGTGGCTTTAGGTTGGGCAGTCATCAGTCCTTTCGGTCCAGCAAGATCAGGTTTGTGGGCCGCACACACCCGACAATCTTTCACATACTTAGCCACATCGAACCTAAGCTTGGGCCAGTAGTACTCTGCAATACGATGATATGTCTTCGACACCCCCATATGTCCAGCAGTTGGTGGATCATGCGCTTCATAAATAACCTGTTTCCGATTTTCCTTAGGTATCACTAATTTCCAAGCATCCTCTGTCCGATCTATCAACCAGTTTGGTGGC